CTCCATCACACTCCTAATCAGTAATTACTGGTAAAATTTTCAAGCTTACCCCAGGCTTTATTGAATATTGTAATGCAGCATGTCACTAACTGCAAGCCTAAAAAAGTGTAGAGTCGTAACAGCATTGGCAGCTAGAACACAGTCCTATATTATATTATTATATACTTTATTTACCCAAAACCACACACCTCATTTTATTTTTATGGATGCTTACTTACTACCATCTTCTCATGTAAAATGAACATCAGTAATTTAGGCTGCTTCCTTTTGGTGTCACTATATGAAGTGATACCAAAAACTATCTTGTTGCAGTTAATTTAGAACTCGGTGTGTACAAGTAGATTAAATGATTTATTCCAGTGAATCTTACACTGCATCTGCCTATGTTGAATTTTAACTGCAACAGTGTTAGCCAGTCACCCAATTTATTTGATTATTCTGGAGTTTCTCATTATCCTCTGCAATTTTTGCGAAGTACTATAATGCTATTTAAAACTTGCCAATTATTGACTTTCTATCTTCTTGATTAGTAAAATAGAATTAATATCCCGTGTGTCTTATGAATACACAGTATTTACCTTTAAAGAGGTTTTATGCATTTCAAAGAGAATGTTCCATTTATTTCTGTTCTTTCTTTCCTACAATATTTGAAATCAAAGGCAGAGGTCTTCTTGTGAGCCTATAGCTACTGCAAGTCCACAGTAGTTTCTTGAAAATAATTTATCCACTTTTTTTTGTTTTAAAGTATAAATTACATCCAATAGTGCCTTCAAGGATTAGAAATGTTAAGTCAACCATATATTCTGATTGATTTATTATAACACCTTGGGTTGGATTCAATAAAAACACTGGCTTTGATATTTTCAAAGACTGGATAGAATGGAAAAATCAAAGATTTTACTGAACCTGATTTTTAATGCTTTATAATTTTTCTATTTTAAAAGTTTGTCTAAATACTTAAAAGCTAACATTCTGACCTACATAGAAAGTTCAGTTGTTTGAGGCGTGAGAAAATGGTTAAAGAGATTATATACAAAACAGCTGTGCACAGCTGTCTGTCTATCCATCTGTCTTTCTTTCACTGACTTAAAAAACACATTAATTTGGCTTGTTTGATGAACAACTGATTTTTAAAGGATATAGTCAGAGTCACAGACGTGTCATAATTATGTTTACAGACCTCACTTCTTCCTGTGGAATTACACTCCAGAATATAAAACTTTTTCATCTAGCTGGCTGAAAATATGAATGGACTAAGAAATGACACACTGGTGTTTTCCCGAGTCTGTATACACTATGAAACAGTATCTCTGAATAATAGTTTCATAGTTTCTAGGGTCGGAAGGGACCTGAGCAGATCATCTAGTCCAACCCCCTGCCATGGCAGGAAAGAGCACTGGGGTCAAACGACCTCAGCAAGGTGGTCAACCAACCCCCT